GCTAAAGATTTTGAGTTCGTGCACATTATGAAGCAAGAATCTAAATATCTGTGTCACAATGATTTCTATAAAAGCGTGTTGTTTATGGGGATAATGTAACAAATCTTTTGTGCGTCCTATTAATGATCAATGATAATTGAAGAGGAACCCTGACTCAGGACATTTTCATGACAAGTGACAGCGCAGACAACTACTAATGAGAGAACCTGTTTTATCATCATAAACACGATGATATGAAGCATCGTTAAAGTGTCACTTCAGTAATGTTGACTCATGTTTTTAATAATGACTTTAAAACACTAAACTCTAATTTCTGTGGTTTATTTTAAGTTTACAGAATATAACATGTTGTGATACTGGGGAAAAAGGGTAAGGTTTGATAGACTAAACCCTTACACACATAACGTGAAAAACCTAAAGAGTGTGTGAGACTGCTAGCTGTGTTGTTCAGCAATAAACTTATCTACAAATGTGTTAGTAAAGAGTGACTTGTACTTCTGTCCCATTAAGCAATGGTTTAACAAATTTCACTGCAAACTATAAAAGGAATCTGGATTTAAATAGAACACAATAGTGCAGGAAACACTAGTATGTGTCTATGGAACAAATCTCCTTCAGCGTTCAAATGACCAAAGTGAGGCCTACAGGCGTTTCTCTCAGTTGGTTGTGTTCAGGGAAAAAGCAGCTAAATACACTGAGACTGCTCCACATTGTTAGTGAGTTAACTCTGGATATCTGTAGGTTTTGTCAAACTTGGAGTGAACAAAAGCAGAAAAACAGTAAAAGATGCAGACGGTGAAAGTCTGGTTTATTTCATGAACACAATGAAACATTTTACAGTCCACAGAGCAAAGTAGCACACATGATAAATAGATACACATAACACGGACAGTGAGAAGTAAAACTTGTCGTCTTACCACATGTTATATTCTGTAAACTTAAAATAAACCACAGAAATTAGAGTTTAGTGTTTTAAAGTCATTATTAAAAACATGAGTCAACATTACTGAAGTGACACTTTAACGATGCTTCATATGATCGTGTTTATGATGATAAAACATGTTCTCTCATTAGTAGTTGTCTGCGCTGTCACTTGTCATGAAAATGTCCTGAGTCAGGGTTCCTCTTCAATTATCATTGATCATTAATAGGACGCACAAAAGATTTGTTACATTATCCCCATAAACAACACGCTTTTATAGAAATCATTGTGACACAGATATTTAGATTCTTGCTTCATAATGTGCACGAACTCAAAATCTTTAGCTTCATATTTATAAAGTATCGCAAAGAATACATTTATACCATTGTATGAGCTACACTTCTTGTAAAAAACTGATTGGTAATGCGTTTGAGAAAAGCTCCTGCTGTGACCTTCCTTCTGTGAGGGCACACACACACACTCACACACACACACACACACACTCACACACACACACTCACACACACACACACTCACACACACACACACACACACACACACACACACAGAGAGAGAGAGAGGGGGGGAGATCATTAATACAAAGGATTGGAGCCGTTTTTGGATTTTCACTTGTTGTTGGCTTTAATATGAACAGTCACATAAAATTCATTCCAGTTTTTTTTTGCCTTTGCTTCAATTAAGATTTTTCTTTAAATCTACAACAGCTTCCTTTTCAAAAAAGTTTACTGACATAGTAAGGAAGTAGCTAGGGACCTCAGTAAGTATGAGCAACAATAGCTTAGGGACAGTTTCTACAATAAATAGGATTTCATCATCTGCTGTTCGTCAAAAAGTGCCATTAAAACAATTCAGCAGACCCTCAGAGTGCGGATACAAACTGTTTTCAGCTGTAGAGGTAGAGGTACGCTACATGTACTTATCAACATACAGTTTAGCGGAGTGGATTAGAGTGCATTGGTGCTTGGGCCTCTTTTATTTAGCACGGTTATACCATTGTGAATTTAGCTATACGAATATGCTCAAGAGTCTATCATATGTTTGACATGCAACTAAAAATTCGAAAATATATATTTTTTAAATCAGTAACTTTGCAAATTTAGAGGAAATGTTTTCGGACAACATATGTGTCACATTTTAAACAATGTTTGAATAATCAGCACTGACATACAGACATTTATGCCCTGGGTATAACAGACATGCTTACCTTGTGAAAGGCCCTCGGATTTCTTGGAGCAGAGAAACACTCTGTATTGTTGCTTTTCTCTATTGTATAAGCAGCGTCCGACTGTCAGAAACGCTCTGTGCGGGTAGCAAAGTCGGCTCCAATGCACATTCAGGTGAAAAAATAACAAGTTAAAACGCTATACCTTGCGGCAGTTGTGAAGTGCTGAGGAAAATACTGTGTGTCTGATGGGGTGTTTTTATATAGGTGGGGCTACTTTCAGTTGACCTCTGAGATGTAGAGATAAAAGAGCATGATGTAAGGAAGAAAGGTGGCAGGCCTTTGGAGACTCTGTTGGACATGCTTTCTGTTGGCCTCTGACATGATAAGACTGGTTGCATTAAAGCCATTAACTGTTTGTGAAGAAACACCTTTGGGCTGAGATGCTCTTGATAAGGAGCATCTTTTGTTTGCTTCATGACTTCTTTTGCAGACTGTTGGGCACCTAACTGCACCCCCTCTGATCAGCTATGTGTAATCATCGAGTCTAACTGTTGCAGAGTGTGGGAATTAACTATTTGTGAAGAAACACCTTTGGGCTGGGATGCTCTTGATAAGGTCTCCTCTTTTGTTGCTTCATACCTTTTTTACAGACTGTTGGGAGCCTAACTGTACCCCCCTCTGTCTAACTGTTACAGAGTGTGTGAATATGTGTTTTTTAGAAGTATCACAGTTTATTTCTAAAAGAATACATGTTGTTTGCGGTGCTCTATTTAAAACTATTGGCCTGTGAAACTTTTAGAAAAGTGAAATGCCCCTAAAGTAGTTAAATCAGCTATGTGTAATCAGCGAGTCTAACTGTTGCAGACTAGTAGATAATTATAAGACTAGTTGCATTAAAGCCACATTGAGGTTGATACAGCGCTAGTGTGAATATGTACTTTTAGAAGTATCACAGTTTATTTCTAAAGGGATACATGTTGTTTGTGGTGCTCTATTTAAAAACTATTAGCCTGTGAAACTATTAGAAAAGTGAAATCTTCCTAAACTAGCTAAATTAAATGCTGTGTGGGAATACACGGTTTTTAGAAGTATCACTGTTTATTTCTAAAGGGATACCTGTTATTTGCGGCCCTCTGTTTTAAAACTATTTGCTCCTAAATAGCACTGAAGAAAATGCAAAAGGCTCCTAACTAGTTAAAATACCCCTAAAGTAGTTCAATTAAATCACCTATGTCTAAATAACAGAACTCTGAGACCTATACAATCCTTTAAAAAGAGTTTAATTAAAACACATTATGGTTTCATTAAATAATACTCTATTAAACACATGTGAACTCATATGACCCCTGGACACACATGCACGTGCAAAAAGTCCGTTCTCGCGCACGTGCACACGCACATGGACGCGGAGGGGGATAGGGGAGGGGGAAAAATGCCCGGGTGGGGGTGTGGGGGGTGTAGGGGGAGAGGGGTGGGGGTGGGGGGGGAATGCCCTCGGGGTGGGGGGGTGGGGGGGCAAAAAAAAGTACAGGTATATTACTACTCATACGCAGTTAGAATGTAACACTATTAACAAGATAATCAACCTCTGTGGGAGTAGAGTTCAGGTAGCTCCTCTGCATTGTGCTGGCACATATCATTGAAGAAGATAACAGTGGAGGAATTATATCCTTTCACTAAGTTACAGCACTTTCAGAAAGACATCTACTGTGTAATATTGTAAATCTAAATATTATAAAGAAATGAACAGAAAAAAAACAGGTTTTTCTGGGAAGAATGTTATATGTCATATGTAAGAAGAAGATCCAGAGTGTGCTTCAAGTGGTGGGTGGGCTCGTTTACATTTTGAGTGAAGCCAGTTGGCTCTAATTACAGTTTAAATGCTATGTCATTTTTAGTATCTACATGGATGTTTAAAATAAATAACACACTGTAAATATTTTATCTGAACTGAAATCTAAATCACAGTCATTGTTAACTCATTTTGAGTGTTTGGTTTTTGTTAGATACTCATTAGGTCGCTTAACTGTTATTGTCTGAAAATTGTTTGTGTAGTTTTCATTGGTTTCTGTTTTAGATTTAGTTTTTTTTAAATTATTATAATATGGAGAATACTTTTTAAAAAGTGCAGTTTTAATTTTTATTTCAGTTACTTGAAATGCCTTGTGCTGGTTAAGTATAAAAACCTAGGGTACGGCATACATTTATGAAATGTAAGACTGCGTTCTTCCATTTGCGCAACATCTCTAAAATTAGAAATATTCTGTCTCAGAGTGACGCTGAAAAACTAGTTCATGCATTTATTACTTCCAGGCTGGACTACTGTAATTCATTATTATCAGAATGTCCTAAAAACTCCCCGAAAAGCCTTCAGCTAATCCAAAATGCTGCAGCAAGAGTGCTGACAGGGACTAGAAAGAGAGAGCATATTTCTCCTGTTTTGGCTTCCCTTCATTAGCTTCCTGTTAAATCCAGAATTGATACATTAAAATAACAGCCTGCATTCCATCGAAATCACTAATGAGATGTTATGGCACAGCAAGAACATTACTAACCAAAATAACAACGTAAATAACGTTTCAACGTCCCTCTTCTCAGCTGTTTCTCTTTCCCTCTTTCTTTCTCCCCTTCTTTCCCCCAGTCAAGTCTGTCCCGTATTCAGTAAGTGAAAATAAAATAAACAATAAAAGGTGAATCAAATGGACCATTACGGCAAGGCTGGGATGGTCAATTTGGTAAAGTAAATCCGTTGGGCATCTTTCTTTGCCTTTAGACAATAATTCTGATGGCAAAAGAGCCAAACGGGACAGGCAAAAAAAAAAAAAAAGAAAAAAAAAAGGGTGGACCAGCCACCTTCCCTTCAAAGAACCAGACAGATGCTGCCGCCCTTACCATGAACTCTGGACTGCCATCAGAATGTCGGTCCAGTTCTCGGTCCAGGTCGGCCAGGTCCTGGTTTATGCCGTCCAGCTCAGCCTGTAGGTTCTTGTATTCTTGGTGATCCCTATCAAACTCCTGTTTGTAGGCCAGACGCTCTTGCTCATCCAAAATGGGGGGAAACAAACTATATGCAAGAAGACAATTCAGTACATAACCAGTAAAACAAAAGAGATACGAATCAGTCAAGGTCAAAGACAAAGTTCTTTATTACCAGCTTTGATCTAGAAATAGCAGATTAATTGCAATCAGCTAATAACTGGCAATGGAATCACATGCACTCACACACTGAAATCTTCTTCCTCTAGGTCATCCCCAGATTCCACACCAGTGTCGTAGTCCCTCAGCCTGGGCTGCAGGCCTCCCACATAGCTGCTGATGTCAGAGTCTCTGCAAACAGGATTTACTGATTCATCCATTTTTGCAAAAGCCTTATAAGTATCTGCCATTAAAACAAACACACTTGAACCCTTGTAGCATGTTTACAGAGCCAACTGGTCTCAAATATGGTTAATATGGTTCCCCATTATCCTTCAGTACCTTAAACTTCAAAACTTATGGATGAGCTGACCCATCAGAGATGGATCACTGTGATCGAGTGCTACTACAGAGTTATGTGCACCTCTTCTCTTTGCACCAGACCTCATTTCAAATTTGGTACAGGGACACTGATCGTTTGTTGACCTGATTTGAACAGAAGTATCCCCGTCTGACCAGCTGGAGTTCCCTCTACACAGCACAGGAAACAGTTTCTGCAGCAGCTGAGATGTTCATCTTCGCAAAGTTGATAATGATGCACTTTTACACAACCATGAAGAACAGTTTCTTATTGACCCACACTCACAAATAAATGTATCTTCATTGTACATTTCTATTTGAAATGTTATTATTTTCTGTGTTTCAGTGAGTGTTTTTCACTACAGCACCAACAATACAATATAATACCAACAATCCCTTTTCTTGGGAATTTAGCGACGTTAAAAATATAATCAAAGAGGCTTTGGTGGTGGATTGTAAGTGTCATGGTCTGTGTGGAGTTATGTTCTCCCATGTCTGTTTGGGTACTGTGTGGGGCATTTTCAATTTGTCCCACAGTCCGAACACACAGATTGACCGTAGGTGTGGGTGTGAATGTGAAAGTGAATGGTTGTCTGTCTCACTGTGTTAGCCCCATCATAGACTGGTGACTGTTCAGCGTCTACCCCTCCTCACCAGCTGGGATAGCAGGTGCCCCACCCAGAAGTCTCCAAGCTGTTTTATTTTAGATGAACTTTGGTGGTTTACAGAGGAAAATTGTGTAACTAACTCCATCAGGCCACAGTCCTGATCATGTGAGCCCCCCCGCCTCTGCACCCCACCCCAGAACATTTAGTCCTACAAAACTTCATTTACAAAAACAGACTGACAGTGATGCTGCATGTGCAAAAGGCCAGACACCCAAGGTAAGACTCTATCATGTTTTAAGTAAACAAATTATACACTGTTCAGTCATTTCAGTAATTTATTATTCAAGAATAAAAACCCAATAGAGCTGCTAGCATCACTATATCTGTAAAAAACAAACAAAACAAAACAAAACCCCAATTCCCCCAGTGCTTAATGATACCTTTTCATAACAATGAAGAACATGCTTACCCTGGTAGGTATAGAGGCTTGTTGTAGTCCAGCTGGTCTAAATAGTCTCTAGAGGCCCCAACTTTATCGTTATGGTCATTAACAAACACCTCTGGATCACCAGACACGTTGGTCACCTGAAGCAACAAACATAGTCAGCCTCAGAGTTTCTATAATGCCAGATTGAAATTAAAGGGACTTTTCCAAATGATGAGCAGTTTAAGGGTGGAAGTGGCTCTACAAATATTTTGAGTTTAGGTTTAAGGTGAAAATACCACGATTATGTCATCAAAGATTTTTCACATTAATGAGTTTCGTCCCATATCGTTAATGAGAGTGCCTTATCATAACCTAATGAGATACTACGCTCATACTTGAGGTCATGGAAACCTGTTTCCTCCATATGAAGCAAGAAGCATCCGCAGGGACCAACCGGTTCCTCTACTTGTCCCTGTATGTCTGAATACCACAAATACCTTCACTATTGTCAACAAGAAGTCTTAGTCAGTGCCTTTAACCAGCACACCTGATGAAATCTCAGGCCTGATGGTGCTACTTGGAAAGTACACAGCTGGAATTAAAGCTACATGGACATAATACTCAGATACACATTTTCCATTTTTATCACTACCATCGGAAGACAGGGAATAAATTAATTAATCTGAACATGTGAAAGATCTAATGAGTTAATGTTTAAAAGAATAAAAATATAACAACATGCTGTTTCACTTTAGATGACATCACAGTGACACCACAGCACATCATGCTGAAACTAAGAGTGGCTAAACAGACCACACCCAGAAACTACAGGTGAAACCTCCTCTGCCCAGTGTCTCTCTCACCTGTCACACACACACACACACACACACACACACACACACACACACACACACACACACACACCAATTCTCAGCTTTTGTAACAAACAAGTTGTGTAATTTCTGAAGTAGTAGTAGTGGTTAGAATCTGCAGCCAATTACATGAATTATGCTCCTATGCATCTTTATTGCCATTTACAGTGCTGTTAGGATGTCCCAGACTGTTTTAATGTTCTTAACAGTCTGTTTAGAGATTACACAGATCAAAACCAAGCATTCTGAATAGTGGATAAGAGCAGATAACACATTATCACCCTGCAACTGACTTTAATGTTGTGGAAATTTTAAAGCCCTCTGACACACCTTAGAGATATTGTGTGTTCCAGCTCTTGACTGCAGATCTGTGTCATGTTTACAGTATTTAAAATATTCAAAAATATTCACAGAGAGTTGGAGACTGAGTGGGGAATTTGTTGAGCTGACCTGATATATTTAGTTCAACCTTAATTTGACTGAATTAAGTTACGCTGCAGCTGATACAGGCTTTTGCTATTTAGTAAACAGGTAAATGCGATGCTGATGTCAACACAGTCACACACAGACTCACCCACTCCCCGACGCTGTTGTGGTGACCAACATTGACAACCTTGACTTCCTCCCAGAGAATGCGTTCTGGGCCCCAGCGCCTGATCTGTTGGCGAGTCTTGACCGCAAACACGAGCAGGATGATGAGGGCAACAAACACCAAAAAGCCCATAACCACAGCGATGGCCTGCAAGAAGCACAACCAAGATCATGGAGCTGAAGTAATACCCATTATCAGGGATGTAAATGACAGGCAAGTTTCACACATTTCCCTAAAAATCTCAATCTTATAACACCTGCCACCAAACAATGAGTTGGCCAAAGGACATTTGCAGGTACAAGTCTGCCATGAAACAATGATTCCAAATTCATGTAGAACAAACTGGGTTTCCAGTATCACTACATGTACTAGTTGGTTTCCAACGGCACACTTGCTCAGTTCAGCTGATTGCTGCTTTAGTGCAAAAATGTGTAGAAACACACCCAATTCCTGATCACCAACATGTATTCTGCTGCTCAAGATATCTCCTGCCCACAAGCGACAGTCAGTGACGCCGTTTCTGTCAGGGTTATGGTGATGTTTGCAGTTCTTACAGTTAACATTTAATGGCGTCAATTTAACAAAAATAAGGCAAGCAAACACTGGTGTTCAGTATTTTCCCCAATTTAAGAAATGTGAAAAGTTTGGAGCTCAATTGCACCAGTCCCTGAGTGCACCCAGAACAAGCTGATTTAGTACTGAAAGAGGGGCACACACATTTGTCAGGTTTTTGTTTCTTTTGCTTTTAATAACTTTGAAGTAGACGAACACATAAAGTTCCAATAAAATGAACATTTGCAGACTTTTCTCTTACTGACACCACTCAGTTCTATTGCATTTTTCTTCTAGTCTTTTGAAGTCGTAATTTCATCTTCATGTGTCCATTAACTGCGAGTTTAATTTACTGCTACCTCTCTGGCTGAAACTAAACAAACTCTCAGTATACACACAGAAAGGAACTACACAGAAACCGCACATCCTGTGCCAAAGATCCAACCACACATTATTAGAGAAAAAGTGTCTCACCTCTTGGGGCTCCACCACGCAGTAATGGTAAAGGTATTGGTTTAATAAGAGGCCCTGGGGCTGGACCTGGTTCTGGAACTGGGCACACATCTGTACCACCTGGTTGTAGTACATAGACCCCGTGGACTGTGCTGTTGGATTTATCGCCACCAGGTACACAATAGTGGCAATAATCATCAGGAATGCCAAGATGGCGCAGATAATGATTGATGCCAGGTAGAACTTTGATGAACGGGCAGTACCTTGCCTTGACACAACCATGATGAATATAATAAGCACAGCTATGAAGGTAATTGCAGAAATGGCAATGATAAAGCCTTTGCCAGATCTGGGATCCATTTTTGTTCCTCCATAGCCGGAATAGGAACCACCATATCCACCACCATATGAGCCACCATATGAGCCACCATACGTGCCCCCATAACCGGTTCCATATCCACTGCCATATGAGCCTGGCATGAGACCAGTTCCGCCCCCCATGAGACTCATTTCGTAATCCCAGGCCAGTGTGGAGGCCACACAGGCAAACACAGCCACACACATGATGATAATGATGATGCACATTATCTTCATCACACCAGGTGGTGAATTCCAGCGATAGAAGTGAAGCACCTTATTTCCAGAATAATAGGAAAATGCTGGGTTGGACATGACTTCACTGTGCCTGTGGCTGGAACAGAGGAGAGAAGATGAGTTGTGGTCATTGTCAAGACATGGAAAAGCAAACACCAAGTACTGATATAAAAATAGCAAGGCTACCCCAAGAATAAGGTCTAATATTGTCAATGTTTTCATCACAAGGGCAACTTCTCATAATGGTGTGATCTACTTCACGTCATTGAAATGAACAGGTTATCACTTTGAAAAAGAAAATCCTCATGTCATCTAAAACCCAACTAAGCCAAAGCCTCATTGATGTCCATCACACATTTTCCAAAGGCTAAAGATGATTTAAAAAAAAAAGTTTATTAGGGATGGATGCGTTTGTCAAATAGTTAACAAGAACAACAAAAAAAACTTGGTAGAACTCAAGTTTTTTTTAATACAACAAATTGTTTATACACTAATAAGCCAAAGATCTATGGTTTGAGCCCAAAAGGTGACACTAATGCTGTTGGGCATCTGACGTAAAAATCTAATCAAATGTGAATCGGCCCACTGCAGCAATGCCTTGTGAATACTGGAGCGCTGGAAAATGGCAACTATGAAAACTATGCCAACAGTTGGGTGACAAAGAGAAATAGTGTGGGATTGAACACAGACAGGAAAAGCACGCACAGCTAAAGACGTCAGAAAGTCCGGCGCGGAAGCGGTTTACCTAATAACAGAAAATATGCATTCTGTGGCCCTACAAATACAACAATCCAGTCATTTGAATTTTGGGTGGGGGCCACTCCTTAAAGAATACTGAGTTAGTTCCCAGTGAAAATGAAACTTTTTTTTGGATGCCTTAAATTGCAATGAAACATTTTTGTCATGTATTTGAAATTAATGTTAGAATAGAATAGAGTATAATAGAAAAGCCCTTTATTGCCATTGCACATGTACAATGAAATTATGGGTGCTCCATGTCAACTATGCAGAATAAAACATAAAGAGTAGGACAGCAGGAATAAATAACAAACAGGATAAATATATACAGTCAAGAGGAATATATACAAAACAAGAGAAAGCCACAAAATAGAAAGGCATAACTATTATTACCAATTGCCTGAATTTCATCACACAACCTTTTACGGTCTTCTGATGCCTATATTGAAGCTTTTTTAAATGTATTACTGGCAATTTAAAAACAAGCAAACGCTTGCTCAAAAATGATGAAATTTGTCACTTTTGTTATGTGAAAATCCTTTAAACCTTACATTAATTTAAAATCATTGAATTCTGAGGCTTTTCTTCGAACATGTCTACATTTCCAGAGGTTTATTTACCATAAACACTGCACTGAGCTTAAGTCAGCTGAGTCCATAAATGACTAGATGAAGCAGGTGTCTGTGCGTAGTGAATGATAAAGGGAATTCAGCTTACCGTTTTTTGCCACTGTGGTTGCTGTGTTTGTTGCTCGGCATACTTAAGGTCAACTTCCACTCACTCTAGTAGGACAACACACAAGAAGCAATGAGCATTCAAAAGCTTTTGTATAATGTCATGTGTCAGACTAGTTTTCCTGCTGAGGCACATACCAGCTCTCAGCCTTTTGTTACAAATGTGTGTTTGTGCAGATTTCCTAGCTCACATGATTTCTTTGTTTTTCTTGTCTAAGGTAACTGAATCAATTATGTGATACATACTTTTCAAAAGTCAACACTTCAAATTGCGTTTAATTTTCTGAAATGTGGGGCTAGGAATGATTAGAAATGATTGGCACTAATATTCATGAAGTGCCTTACTTTGACGCTTTGTTAAAAATGATATATTTTATGGTCATCTCAAACGATGAATGCGAAAATCTAACAAACTAGTGACGTATCAGGGGACCAATGTCTGGCTATGGAAAGCACTACGATGGAAAACAGCGCCTGTGTTTATGAGGAAGCCTGTTAATATGGTGGCCATTTCAGATTAAAAGCAGCTGTCTGAGCAGATAACACTGATCCATTCCATCACTTGTAAACTGACTTTAACATCAATGCTCATCTCTTCTACTTCAAACTGTCCGTAAACTCTAGTTACACCTTTAAGAGGGACCTACCTGTGTGATGATCGGCGTCCTGCTGATGAACACAATACACACTCACTGAAATACGAACGCAAACACTGTGCTCGCGACCGCCTCCATCCACAGCGCGCACTCAGGTAGCAATGAGACGGGCATATAGGCGTGTGCTCGTCACGTGGTCGCCTCCTCCTTGAAACAGGACTAACCTGTCCTCAGTGCCTGCATCTTCTGGAAACAGGCAGAAGATGCGTGTACTCTTCCAGGAACTGTTTGAGCTTTATTTCCAGTGCTCTTAAAACCAGATTATAAACAAATGAACTCTCAATCTGCTCCACTTAAAATAACAAACATAATCTCTTTTGAACATCTATTTATCCCGCAATTTCGACAAAAAGCAGGGTTACTATCAAGAAATGCGAATCCCGACGTGCCAGACTTGATCTCTGTTAAAATGCATACGTGCACTAATTCGATGTACCTGAAACCTGAGCCGATGTCCCCATCCCGTCTTCCTACTGTTGTGAAACTTGGTAGGACAAACAGTAACCTGTCAAACCTGTTCTGCAGGTAGAGCTTCTGCTCAGTGCACCGCTGTGAGTCCAGCAGCCACCTTGACCCCTGCATCAGTAGACCACTTCTAGTAGCCCGCATGTTTCTTTGCTTTTTGGACAGTTTCTAGCAGACACACCTTGAGAAAATATTCTATTCCTTTACCCATTTATCAGTGTCACTGCTGTCTTTGTATTCATTTTCATTTATACAAATACTCTTACTTAACACGTGAATGCAGAGAAACTCTTTGTTCAAAGTCCATTTTAAATTTGGTGTGAGTGACAATACTGAGTTTTTCAGGAACAGCTGCTGCAGGAAAATGTCGCTGGGTCTGCTGTTTTTGGATAGCTGTTAGTTTATTCATCAGAGTAGCTGCAAAATTAAAACCCCTGGAAGCAGAACTTATTACCAATCTTTCAATGGGCACCGTTTCAGGTAGGGGTCATGGGAGTTGGCATAAGGATTTTTGGCACCAAGAGTCATATTGTGTTCCTTGAACAGAGTGGTCGGCTTTAAAGGTTTTCCCATGAAATGAACAGTGAGTAGAAAACAACAACCTGGCACTAAAGGAAGGCACTGCAGCACACATTGATAGAAACAAAAAACTTTAATGAAGGTTACAAAAGAAAGGTACCAGAAGACAGCTTGGTGTTCATGGAGCTGTGCGGTCGGAGACAGGTCAGAGTTCAAATAGTCAACTGATTCAAGGTTCTGCTGGGAAACTTTAATGTCCTGTGATGCGTTCCCTACCTCCTCATCTCGCTTTAACTTCAAGCACCTAAAAGATCTCTTGTGGAGAATCTGTTCATCATGTGGACTGACCGTACCAACCATTGCACCACCATGTCAGCCAATTTTAAACACATATTTACTATGGCAAAGTTGTACAAATCACAAAGCAGAATTTACATTATAGTTAAAAATATAAATTCAGAGCACAGGTTTCATGTTTAAATGCAAAATAAGGCAAATACACATATCTATCATATGACCCCAAACCAAAACTACAGATAAAAAAAACAGTGTCCAGTCAGAGGAAAGCAGTCAACTATCTTTATTATCTTGCCCATGAATAAAAGTAACTGTATTAAAGTTTCCATAGCAACATCCAACATGAAGATTTCATCTCTTTGCTTGTCTACCAGTGTTCTTTTGAAGTTGCTGTTGTTGCTGTTATGCTAAGCTAACATGGCCATCTTACAGTCTCTAAAACAGCAAAATCCCCAATATGTTCTTTTACAACTATCGGGGAGTGCTGTGTGCATGTTCATTTACCAACACTCTGTTGAAGTTTACGGTTTCTGTGACTTTTACTATTCCCTCTATAATGACGACACATCCCAGACGATGTTCCTTCTAGTGACAGTGAGTCTACCATCCATCATGATGGAGTGACTGCAGTGTTTTCCACCTATTTCAATGTGATAATGTCACCTCTGTTGTCAGGAATTATGGTTCAGCAGTAACGGGGAGTTTCACTTGGAAGAGACAAGCGTCTTTTTTAAATTTACACCACAGTCCCACTGTTGTGTTGTCACAGAGCACACCTGAGCACACCTGTGTTAACTGCTTAGTTGGCATCGCTGTAGCCCACGGACTTGTTGTACTCTTGAATCTTCTGTTTGATGTGAGAGAGCTTGTTCTTTAGATACTCACACCTCTCTCTTTTTTCCAAATATGTTGGGTCCTAACAAGGAAAACATAAATCAGTAAAATTGAGTACATTTCTTCACAAAGATTTCAGTAAACCACACAAGTATTAAGAAACCAGGCAGTACATTTGAACCCTAATGGTGACACACCATTAGAGGTCTCAAGTTGGGTTTTTCAGACTTTCAGTGTTCGTTTGCTTGTCAAAATATGAAAACAGGATAGATAGTACAAGAAAGCTGCCATGATTAATCTGAGCTAGAGCTCCAAATCACTGTCATTGTTATGGCCTTCTATCCTACAAAAGCCATTACCCATCACCTGCTATACCACACAACAGTAAGGTGATTTGGCATCTGCATTTTTCTGATTCCTGTAGTAGGATTTGTATGTACAGCAGCAGAGAGACTTAGAAAACCAACTCATCTATCATCTGTGACAGTGGATGTGAAGTAAATTTAAACAATTTACTTGTGCTTTTTCACTAAAATAAAAGGGAAGAACACTTTTTAAACTTTTTTTTTAATGATTTATTCATTTTAAGTGGTACTGTGCACTGGGTTTGGATATTCAGCAGGTATGACCCTTCTATGAGGAGTTTATATGTTTGCTTGTAGGTTTTATTTTTATTTTATTTGTTTTCTTGTCAGGGAGGTGAGGATGCTCCTGTAATAAAAAACCATGTTAGATTAATGCTGCGCAGTAAAGCACTAGATTATTAACCTCTGGGGTTTCAGTTCCTTGACTAAAGTCCAATTAAAAATGACTTCCCTTCTCAGACTGTTGCATTCGCAACCCAAGCCCAGTGAAGTGACAGAAAATGGATGGATAAAAATAAAACAATAATGAAACAAATACTGGAAACTACAAAAATATGAGTCTAACACAAGAACGATATATAATGGTTAGTGAGACAAGTGTGACTCAGCTGAAAAACTGCATTTATTTTCCAAACAAATTCATATGTTGTAAATAGATTCTTCTGAGGTTTGATGAGAGTTTGGAGTTATGCACTCAAACAAGTGTCTGCTAGGTTTTTTGGTTTATCCAAACCTTTCTGTAAAACATCCCCCCCCCCCAAATATATGAAAGCACAACAGAGTGTTAGTGGGGCAGCTCTTTGATCTAAGTATTATTAAAAATAATAACTGTTATTAACAGAGACATGAAGGGATATCTTTTACAGAAACACCCCTTCCCTAAGACCCCAGTCTGACAGACAACAATTCATGATGTATACTCACAGCTTTCTTCCTCTGATACTCCATTAAAATACCATTTATCCGCTCCTTCTCCTGAAACAAAGCAAACGTGTTACTGGATGTAATGTTACAATGTGTGTGTCTGTCTATCTGCTCGCTAGCAAAATTACCATTTGGCTGGAGGGCCGGGATGGAAGGTTCGCCATCATTTCATCCATCTCTTCGAACTTCTTGGCCATGGCCTGGACCTCAGCATGCAGTTCTTTGTACTCAGCATACTGGTCATTGAACACAGCCTTGTACTGGTCCCTCTCCTCATCTGTGTAAATGCTGGGATACTTCCTGTAGAAACAGCAAAGGAAACAATATTTCTTGGAGCACTGGCAGCTGAATGTGTCTAACACAGGTGTTTAACTGGGATACCCTCCTTTATCTTATCTTACTTATCTTATTCTTGATCTTAAACTGCTAATAAAAATCTGATTTCTGAGGATGGTTTAGAAAATAGTTAGTTTGGTAAACTGGTAACTGAATAAACTACTTTCTAAACCATGTGTGCACCTTTAATTTTTGTCTTACTGACACCAAATCCATGAAAAGATCTAAGATCATAAAGGAACCAGTGAAGGCAGCTTAAATATGCACTCAAAAAATAATTGTTTTTGAAGGCTCAGTAATGTTCTACTAGAGCTGGTCAGAGGAGTTTTTAGCAAACTGTTATCAAGCACAAGTAATAATGTACTATTTGTAGTGTGGATTTAACCCACATTTAGAGTTGTGCTGTGTATTTAGGCCAGCAGGACACTGTGTGATGACACTTTCTGGATAACAATGGAGTTCAGTGATAAAGGAATTAAATGTGTGGCAATACTTATTTTTGATTCTCCATAGGGCATTCTTTGACAGTGTAGCACATTAAATGCCAAAGACCAGCACTTCCTAGTCCTACCCACACTGGGCCAGAAGGTCTATCTGATGTGTGTCGGTGTTGTTCCTGGATCATCATAATAATATTTGTCCAGGATCAACATCGCATCTGACCAAACATAGTTATGATGTCATAGCTTTGCGGATGTCCACTCAAGAAAAAAAAAATCCAAAATGAGGGCTGTTAGGGCCAAGGTGTGATTGTGGTGAGGGTTTGGTGTGTGATGTGATGGTGTTTCCACATCGCAAAGCTATGACATCACTACAGTATGACTAGTCACTTGCAATGATGAAACCTGGACCAACATTAAATTTGTTGATCCAGTAACTGGACCGACAGGAGGACATCAGATGGTGTAAACAGAAACACGCGCAACAAGCTACACATGAACTGTATGCCACTTTGTGTGAGATGGGCCTAACGTGAAAGTGTGACAAACAGTAGCACTGGTGAAATGGTTATTCAGCCTTTGTAGCAGTGAGTTTTCTAGAAGAGCCATAATTCACATAGTCTGTACTGGAGTGTTCACAAACTAAAAGAGGTCACACCATTCTGGGTGGTTTGGAGTTATGTATTTTTCATTTACAGACGTAAGTGTGATACTGCTTTCCCAGAATACCCATGTACAAAAACACAGTGGTCATCATTGCACTGCTGGAGGTTTTATTTCTGTTAAAACACTTTAATTTAATTCTATTTTATTTATATAGCATCATATCCAATCAGCAGTCCCCTTGAGGCACTTTATAATGTAAGGTAAAGACACTACAATAGGGAAACACTGCAACAC